CCGATGTCCGATACAGATTCATCTGGAGACTTCAGACCGGAATGGCTGTCCTCGTCTGATGAGGACAGCGACGATGAGCTCCTCAATCTACTACTTGAGCACGCTCGGAACCGCGTGGCTCGAAGAGCTCTGCCAAGGAGACCGTATCACAACTCCGCTCTTCGAGGATTTCTCTACGAGCGAGAGTTGTTGAATGGTCATCCGGGAAGGTTTCAACAAGTTTGTCAAATGGACAAAGCCACGTTCAAAGGTGTCATGAAGATCCTTGGACCCCACCTCGAAGACACTATCCACATCTCTGCCAACGAGCAGGTGATGATATTCCTGTACATAGTTGGTAACACCTCTACCAACGCTACGGCTGCTGAGCGATGGCCACACTCCGGCGAAACTATTTCAAGATATTATAATAAAGTACTCGATATTCTTGAAAGCCTGAAAGATGAAATCATCGTTCAACCAGGGCCTGATACGCCGATCCCAGATGAAATCTCCGAAAGTACGAGGTACTCACCTTTCTTTGATGGGTGTGTTGGTGCCCTCGATGGGACTCACATTCCTGTGAGAGCTCCAGTCGCCGACCAAGCTCCCACCGTGATCGAAAGGGTGACCTGAGCCAAAATGTTTTGGCCGCCTGCAATTTCGATCTCATGTTTTCTTTCGTACTCGCCGGTTTTGAAGGTAGTACTTCTGATCCTGACGTACTATATGCCGCAAGACACGATGGTGCCTTTGTTATACCAGAGGGTGAGTCTTTCATTTTCTTCAACTTATATATATATATAAAAGTCACTTACAACTGCTTCCCATCCTAGGAGGCTTCTATCTTGGCGATGCTGCCTACGCCAACGGTAATGGTATCTTAACACCATACCGTGGATTTCGCTACCATATTCAAGAGTGGGCTCGAGGCCGAACCGCACCACAAAACTACCAAGAACTCTTCAATTATCGCCATTCTCAACTGAGAATGATCATCGAACGAGACTTCGGAGTCTGGAAGATACGATTCGTAATTCTAGTCTTAATGCAAAGATTTCCATTACACCGACAAGGAAGTCTTGTAGTGGCACTTGCTGTTCTTCACAACCTCATCATGCAAGGTGGTGAAGATCAATTCTTTGGAGAATTTGATGAAGAACAACGTGAGCGAGATCGGGCATGGATCCGTCAAGCTCAAGACAATTTTGTTCCTGCGGTAAGGAATGATCGAGGTGCTGCAAATGCGTTTAGAGATGAGATTGCGATAAATATGTGGGCTCATTATCAAGCTCACAGAAATCATCACTGATTTAAATAGCTTTAAATGTAGTAAGTCAGATTTTTGATTCTCTCCAATTCAACTTACTGACTATATCAACCTTTTATGTTGATTTTATTTCTCACTAGACAAACAAAAAAATTATCAGAAAAACATATATAACTCAATTTGTATTTTTATTTCATTCAGCAAAACTGTATTTAGTATCATCAATAAGACATTCATAATAGTTGATACTTTCATCAAAAAGAAAAGTCGATATAGTGTTTATTTGATTCTTGTACAAAATATAAAAAAACTGCTCTCTTTTGAATCTGAATTAAAATTTGCATTGTAATATGTTCAGGCCCTGGTGCACATGGC